GATGTTAAGCTGTTAGGTGTTATTTATTTATTAAAAAGATATTTCTTTCTTTGAATTGTCATCCTAGTGACCTAGTTTGTTAATAAATCACGAAATGGTAAAATGTAAACAGTAGAACAAAATAATTTAGAACCATCATCAACATTTTTAATAAGATCAATTAACATTTATTTCCTTTTATTCACAATCACAGTCAAAATGTTTTAGAATAGACAATTGTATAGAAAAACACTTATTTTTTAATTGTGTTGTGAAATCATGTTTGAAACCCACTTTAGAAAAGGTTAGGAAAATATACCCGTTATATACCGGAAATATACCATGTTTTTAACAACAAATAGATATTTGTTTTATCTTTGTTATACAGTGCTAACAATACTCTCAGAAAATTACTAACAATGAACTAACAACAATTTCGACTCACTACTCTTGACTTCAACATCTACTTTGTTCAGAAAAAAATATTTTTATTATTTTAAAATCTCTATTTCAATTAGATGAGCTCAATAAGATGAGTTTGTTTTAAATGTGTTCATAAACTGTTTTCATTTGGAAGATGCTTTAATTATCTTCAATAGTTATTTATGATTTTTATTTAATGTCATCATCATGAAATTACATTTTCTTCAACAGAAGTGTGTAGACTCCAAAACTTCTTCATAAAATTATCTGTCATTACTTATGAGAAGTAAGCAATTGATTTTTTTTTTTTCATTTAGACATTTTCTCTGTAGATCCGGATTTCTGATTCCTGGGATTTGCACACCCAGGCTTCTACCATAGCCTGACAGCAATTTCTCTTCAAACCCATGAATTCCTCATCATATATCTACAATGTGTTGAACAATCTGAACTTTCGGAGCAACGCGACCACATCTGCAGTCAGAAATGTGATCGCCGTTGTGCTTGGCCTCATCATCATTTTCATCAATGGGACACTGGTTCACACCTTCAGAAAAAATCAGGTCTGATTTTGTTGTTGTTTTGGGATGTTTGTGAATTATCAGCTCATGTTTACAAAATAAATCATCATTAGTCAGTGAAGATGACACTTTTCCTCTTTTTCAGATATTTTACATGAAACCTCGTTACATCCTGTACATCCATCTGGTGGTGAATGATATGATCCAGCTGACTACAACAATCACCCTTCTTGTCTTTAGCTATGTGTTACACAATATCAACTCATCTCTCTGTTTACCCATTGTTGTTGTTGCTGTTTTTACCACCCACAACACCCCATTAAATTTAGCTGCAATGGCTGTGGAGTGCTACGTTGCTGTATGTTTCCCTCTGAGACACGCTGAGCTCTGCACCATCAAACGAACATATATTCTGATCGGTTGTATTTGGGCCTTGAGCTCTCTGGCAGTTGTGCCTGATATATTTATTCATCTGGCAACGGATCCTTTATGGTTATTTTTTTCCTTAGCATTCTGTGATAAGGATAAATTGTTTTGACAACCAGTTAGCATACAGAAGAGGGATATTTCCTATGTAATTTATTTGACTGGAGTTTGGCTCACTCTTTTTATCACCTATTTTAAAATTTTCTTTGCTGCTCAAAAAGCTAATTCAGTGGATGGAAACGAAAACAAGGCCAAAAATACCATCCTGCTTCATGGCTTCCAGCTCCTCATGTGCATAACATATCTAGACCCTATGATAAAATCATCTTTTGTGGTTACTTCCCCTGAAATTTTACCTCATTTAACCTATTTCTGGTACGTCTTTGTCCACATTCTCCCCAGGTTTATCAGTCCAATGGTGTATGGGCTAAGAGACAAGACTTTTAGATGGCATCTAAAAAAATATCTGCTGTGTAACATCAGAGCAGGCAATAAATTGTATCCTTCAGGGAAACTTCAGCTTGTTTTATATAATAGTTAAATATTTTAACACAATTCAAATTATTTGCATGTTTTCTCAATAACTGTATACTGCTGCAAAATTAGCATCCTGCTATTAGAAAATACATTTGCTTGCATCTGAGGGTTCATATCATTTACAAAATCTGCCACTTTTCATGTTTAAAGACCTTATTCACAAGTTATTTTTTTTTTCTTATCTGCCTACTTACCTGTGGGGAAAAGTTTGCTATCCAGCAAAAAAGAAAGCAAGTATTTTTGCTGCAGTTCCTTTAGTTCTGCTGAGGCCAAGGATTATGTACCCACTTTAAAGCGATATATTTTTATTAGGGTTAGAGGTGTGTGTGTGTGTGTGTATGTGTGTGTGTGTGTGTGCGTGTGTGTGTGTGTGTGTGTGTGTGTGTGTGTGTGTGTGTGTGTGTGTGTGTGTGTGGCTTTAAGTGATAATGTGTAGTTTTTACAATTATTCTCTGGAAGTATCCATCAAAATGTTGCTGAAAATGAAATAGATGATGTAGAGTTTTTGAAAAATATTGGCAGCTTTGTAACATATCTCCATAAAAATAGTCTAAAATACCTGGGAGTGGGTTTAAGTCTCCGTCTAGTAAGGACAAAATGTACTTAATGATTTATAACAAGCGGTTACAAAACTTTCGCCATTCTTTTTCTACACATTTACCTCTTCGCTCGTTGCCAGTAGTGAAAGGGAGTCTGATGTGCATGTCATTTTGTTGGAGGTTGCACTCCCAGGGATTTTTGACTCTAATGGCCATACTTGCCTTACTCGAACACAAAACCAAATATACATTGTTTAAAGGTCACCTTCATATCAAGACCAGATTGGAAAATACTAAGTTAGAAGTCCCAGCAGACCACAAAAACTAGATTTTCCATTTTTGTTTCAATAAAGAAAATGCAGAATTGATTGTATAATGGTACTTTGTACTGCTGAAAATTGACCTCATTTAAATAAAAGTCATTCTAATAAAAGACTGGACAAAAATCACACAAAATCCCACTGAGGGCCAACAATGGCCCCTGCACCACATTTTAGAAATGACAGACCTCCACAGTCAACAGAGGTCTCATATGCATGAAGGATTTGAAACACAACAATGTGACATGTGCCTTTTTCCACTCAAACATCCAAATATGTCAGGAATGAAATGCCCATTAATGAAATGCCCATAAAAATGACTACAGCCTAGGGCTGAACAGTATATCGATATTTTTAAAATATCAACAAAAATTCAAACAAGATGACTTTAAATCAGTATAGCTTGTCAAGTCGCTCGCATAGCAGCTAGAGGTAGCTGCTAATGCTAACGGCTAGCTTGCTCCATCTCTAAGCAGCCATTACGTTTTCTCACTCGTCTCCTCGATCAGGAAACCTCTGGGTGAATGTTTTGCTTTAAAATTTGCATTTGGCTTTGTTATTTTTAATTATTTGAGGACTGTTCATGTTTCAGCAAGCCTTGTCATCATGGCTGCCCACCAGAGTTCTGTTTATCCTGTGTAGCGAGACAGGCTAGACCAGGGGTGGGCAATTATTTTTTCCATGGGGCCACATGAGAAACAGAAAATATTGTGGAGGGCCAGGCCAAAAGGCTGAAGTCAATTATGCATAATATTAATGGTATTTCCAAAGCAGTAAATACCATTGTTTTTTCAAGCTGGTAAGAGTAGTATGGGGTTAGACGCGTGCATGGGTCCACATCGCGCATGTGAACGGGACTCGCGAGTGAAAATATACATGGCGAGAGGTCATTTGTGCACTGAGAGGGAGCAAACTGTGTCTGTGAGCGCACAAGGAGAGGGAGCAAACTGTGTCTGTGAGCGCACAAGGATGTGCACAAGTGACAAACCTGCGTGCGCGCGTTGCCAACGAGCACACGGCAGAGGAAAACGTGCGCGCGCGGCAGCCTCTCTGCGCGCTCGGCAGCCTCTCTGCACGCTCGGTTTCTGACTCCGCTCGCTCGGCTGTTAAGGGGTTTTGGCACTCTGGAGGCGTGGCCTGTGGCAGATCTTCTCTGTCCTCTGATTGGTTAGTTTTGCCCACACTTTACCCTCTACCTCATTGGCCAATCTTCTCTGTCCTCTGATTGGTCATATTTTCTACCTTTCTCTGTACCTTTTAGCCCAGCCAGGAGAAAACAAGACGTCAAAGGTTTTTCTTCTGTTGTAGGCAGCTCGTTAAGCAGCCTTGGAGGCACCTGGGCTCAGGGTGTGGTGCTGCCTATAAAGCCTACTGTTTTTCTGCTTTCACTGGGTCTCTCCTGTGTGGTGGAGAGCCCTCACTGGCCTTTATATATATATATAAAGTGCACCAAACTTGACTCAGTCCATTCAACAATTCTAAATGGACAATTATGTAACTCATCAATTAATTATTTGAAAGGATAATTTGTCAATTAAATGCTGAAAAAAATAAACAATACATTAATGAGGCAAGAACTTTTTAAACTTGAACACACCTACACCCACAAGTCTATTTTTACCTCCTCTCAAGAGTGGCTGAAGTAATATTACAACTTTGACAGAATACAAATTCTCTCTCTCTCTCTCTCTCTCTCTCTCTCTCTCTCTCTCTCTCTCTCTCTCTCTCTCTCTCTCTCTCTCTCTCTCTCTCTCTCTCTCTCTCTGGAAGCCCCACTCTAAGGGCCTTTGCAGTGTATTAGTGACTCATATATTGTACACCCACAGTCATAAAGTTTTCAATCAATAGTTTTATTTCAGTATGTATTTTTCCAGTATCACAAAAAATATAATTTTATATGGTTAAAACCATCTAGCGTATGTGCACTTTTTAAAACACTGCCCAGCAAACATTCGGACGTTTAATGACAGTTGAACGGTCACAACTGTAAAATAATATCACAGGAATTAGGAAAAAATTGCATAACACCTACTCTATTTTCCTTGCCCGGACTCGAACCTGGATCCTCCAGGGGGAGAGTCACCCGCTCTACCAGCTGAGCTATGACAACAACTACTGAATATCAGATATTTTTATATAGCTACCATCATTTTGGTCCGACAGGAAGCTAATGGGCCAATGAGGTAGAGGGTAAAGTGCGGGCAAAACTAACCAATCAGAAGACAGAGAAGATCTGCCACAGGCCACGCCTCCAGAGTGCCAAAACCCCTTAAAGTGCATGTCAAGTGTGCCTCAGAGTCTTACCCCACCCACGTATCAATTTTGAAAACTGCAACATTAGTAGGCGTTGCCTGGAGGACCGAGAGGGCGGAGCCGTGGCAGTGACGAGGAGACGGCTAACTAGACGAAGCTAGCTCCCTTCACTCTGAGCAGTCATTAGAAGTGGAGGACGTTTCTCCCCCTCCTTACCCAGACACTCGAGAAGAAAGGGACCAAGTCTATTTGGAGGAGCAACCGGACATGAGCCTTATTGTTTTGAGCTTGTGAGTTGCCTGAAATTACTGGAACCGACCCAACAGACCCATCTCTGAACGTAAGTAGCCGTTAGCCATAGCATTGGATTAGCTGCAGGGTTTGTCTCCATGGCCCTAAAAAGCTAGTATTCAGCATGTTTTAGAGATTTATCTGCATCAACACACCTGGTTTTAATCAGCAACAAACAGCTGAGCTGCTTAACAGCTTATCTAACCTGTTAAAGCAGGAAAATCCACTGAAACGTGCTGGATAGCAGCTCTCCAGGAGATCTGGGCTCAAGCTAGTCTGCTGCATAAAGTTATGAAAATATACCATGAGAAAATTATTCTGTAATGTGTTCAGCCCATTAAAACTGCCCTGATTTCATTATTTATTTACTGATACTAGCTGCTCTTGGTTGCAGGTGATCCTCTGGTGTCTGCAGCTGGTCTCCTGCTGATGTCGTCGGGATCAGGAACTTCCAGAAGAATGTGCCTTTCAATGACTCTTTCCCCCTTATTTGTTATATTAATTAAATAAATCTCAATTTATATATTTCCTGTTTTTGTTCATGTCCATAAATACTTAAACATGCTTGAAATTAAAACGAGCTTTTAACAGTGAGGTGCTAGTTTAGTTAATCACAATAGAGCTAGTTAAACATGCGACAATGTGATAATTCAATTAATGTAATTTATAAATATCCATTAAAATATCAAAACTGGAATCAAAATGAGATATTTGGCAGCACAAAAAACTTGTCAAACACAATATTTATTATAATAATTGTAGGCAGACAGGAGACAGAGCTGATGGAGGTTCTCAGTCATCGAAGGTTGGCTGAAGGCTTTCCAGGAACAGGAGATGTGGTGTTGTCTCTTCTCTCTCTATTCTGCCAGATGAGCTGATAGGTTACAGGTGTGTGAGGACATCCTCATGCTGTCATAACCAGATGACAGGAGTTATCAGGTGATCAGCCAGGCTAATGATGAGATGCAGAAAGAAAACAAATCATGCAGAAAGAAAACAAATCCTGGACAGTGTACAGTAATAAAAATAATATGTGGTGTTGCTTACCTTATGTGCTCTTATAGAGTTATTAACGTGTGCCTGCCTCATGGTGTAGAGTCCATATTTTGCTGAGTGTCCTGCAGTAATGCAGGTTATTAGTTAATTTACTTTTGATAGCAAAAACAAAATATTTAATTTAAAAGTTATTTACCAGGTGAATCAGCTCACACGTCACCACCTGGTGGTGACCACCAAGTGTCACAGTGCCAGAATCAGTAGCCTCCTTCATGATGTAATCACATACTAATTTAATTGTTAATATCTTAAAAATTCAGAAATGTTTTAATTTTTTTTTACCTTGAACAGTTCACTGAGCTTGCACTGTCACTGAGGTGGAAGCTGGAATCAACAGCAGACACCTCACACCGTGGTCTTTTCAGGAGGTGTGGATGCTCTGGGACCTTCTGGAAGATGAATTTCTGTCATGGTCCCTGTGTCACAAGACACTGAGGCTGTGAGCTCTATAAAAACAAAGAAGCAGCACATTTATAAATGTTTAAAAGAGCATAAAATCACTTGTAACAATCTGTAAAACAAATTAAAACTAGAAGGTAATAAAATGTTTACATAGAAGATTATTAAAAATAATTCACCTTTGCTACGGGTAACACCACGTCAGCCTGGACAAGTGCATTCTTGCAGATTACTAAATCAGTCTGACAGCCAGTGTCTTGGGTAGATTTAGCCTGAAAAAAAATAGAAGCACATTGATGTTTATAAAGTCAGATAAAATACAAAAGAAACTGTCCCATATAGGCGCTTTATAACATTCCTAGTGTGTGATGTTATTATAAAGTAAAAGTCAGTCACATATGATGTGGAGACCCTGAAATGCGACCTCCTGAACAGAATTCCTCACGGAACCGGGTCACGCTGTGCTAGATTTCACGCTGTAATGCTGTCTGTCAACTAGTGCTGCGTCAGTTTAGAGTCACTGTTGCTGAATTACCGACTGACACAAAAACAACCCGAATTTTCTCTGAGCCTGACAGTCATGTGGACCGTTTTGTCGGCCAGGGCTTCGAGATATGTTCCGATTCGCCGCTGATTCTAACCTTACATCCCGTTCCACATTTTGTGAACTTGACAAAATAGCCCGAAGGCAGTGCAGACTGATATTAGCTAAATGGAGTGAACCACGTCTCTCAAACTTTGCATTTAGGTAGGAAATTGTCTTTAGAAGATGTTAAAACTTTTATTTAGCTTACTCACCTCAGACTGTAGCCCGTCATGGTGGGGGAGCAGAGTCGGTGGGCTGCATCTAAATCGCGGAAGAGCCACGGTGGGCACAGCCTCCCTCTTGGAACGGAGACGTGCAGAATCGCGGGTAAAATGCTGGTTGCAAACTACAGCACCAGGCGGGAGCTGAATCTTTTCCAGACACGCAACCACTGGCGCCTAATTTCTAAGTCCAGCGGAAAGGAGTGCAACCCGACAGAGCTCCGCAACCATACTACACTACACCATCTCACCATGCTAACACGATATGGAGCACTAAACCCGAACTACTTTCCTAATTACACTAACAGCCAAACAGTAACTAAACTACAACATCCAACAGCCAAGCTAACACTAAATAAGTATGTATAACACTAAAAGCTATGCTAAAGACTAGGATATGCTAATGCTATATGCTAATGCTGAACTACGGCTAGCCTCCTACACTCTCATGCAAATCCAACTCCCAATTCGCCACAAGGCGTGGCCGAGACTCCCGATGCTTTTATAACGTTGACACAGAGCTGCTACGTAGTACTCTACTGGATTACGTAGTATCTTACTCTTTAGCCATTGGCTAAAATTTATTCAAAATGAGTCAAATTCTATGTTTTAAGCTGAAGGTGGAGCTATACTGTGGTATTTAGGCAGAATTTTTAATTTTTTAAGAAAATGCACCAAAATGCTAAAATAATGAATACACACATTTAAAACACTATTAGACACTCATTTATACAGTTCATCAGCAAAAAAAAGTTAATTTAGACGTTACTTGCTCTTTAACAGCCGAGTGAGCGGAGTCAGAAACCGAGCGCACAGAGAGGCTGCCGAGCGTGCAGAGAGGCTGCCGCATGCGCACGTTTTCCTCTGCCGTGTGCTCGTTGGCAACGCGCGCACGCAGGTTTGTCACTTGTGCACATTCTTGTGCGCTCACAGACACAGTTTGCTCCCTCTCAGTGCACAAATGACCTCTCGCCATGTATATTTTCACTCGCGAGTCCCGTTCACACGCGCGATGTGGACGGGTCTAACCCCATAGATTAGACTGTATGTTATAAATGAGCAAAAAGGAAAAAGTGAGGTTGGCTTACAAAAATGTGATTTATTCAAATTTCCCAAGGCCTTGGTAAACAAAGTGCGCACATTTGGTTTTTGTTAAACATTTGTGACTTATATTAGTTTACAGTTTCAGTCACATTCACTCCAAAACACATTTTGAGTTTCAAATATTGTTGGAAAGAGGTTCTTAGCATTCTACAGACACACAGTATTGTCTGTAAAATAAAATCACTTAACTGTGATCTTGAGAAAGAGGTTTTAAAAAAAAAGTGTCCCATTTCACTGCTAGTTGCCTACATTTTTGGTCCAAACACCTTATTTTGTGTTTTTAAGCGACTTTTTTCTTATTCAGTGAGAGAAATCTAGTCTCTGCTGGGCTTTAACGAGTGCATCAAAGTCAGGTTGAATGTCTGAGGTGGAGATGCGAAGCACAGCTGACAAATGATCATCAGTGAGAGAGGATCTACCTGGACTTTGTAAACTTCATCATTGAAAATGTTTGTCCACAAATGTAGGTAGAGCCGAAGAGAACCAACATCTTCTGAGCATGTCTCCTCAGGTTTGGAAAGTTCTCCTCCTTAAGAGAAGAGTAGAAATCCAGCAGAGATCCTGACTTAAAGTGCTCTGCCAGTACTGCATCAGACTGCAGGTCAATGAGTTCCAGCTGCACATCACTGGGTGCATTATCCACACTGCAGGTAAAGGGAGAGGAAATCATGTGCATTTCATCCTCGATTGTTCTGAGATCTTCAAAACGCCTTGAAAACTCACCATGTAATGCTCCTAACATGGATGAGTACCTGCTGAGGTGATCAGCTGATGGTGTGACTTTGTTCAGGGTTTGCATGTGAGTGAGAGTGTTGCTCTCCAGTTGACTTGAAAGAAACTGCAGCTTTCTCATGAAGGCCTTCATGAGGCTGTGCATTTCATGAACAAAAAGACCCTTGTCTTGCAGTTTGGTGTTCAGTTCATTCATCAGTGCAGTCACATCAACAGCAAATGCAAAATATGCCATCCAATCCTCATCTGAGAGCTCTGGAATGTCTTTGTCTTTCCTCTAGCAAAACTCTCGAATCTCTGCTTTCAAGTCCCAAACCCTCTTCAGCACTTTCCCCAGGCTGAGCCATCTGACAGCTGTGTGGAGTCCTCCAAAAGAGCGACAAACTGTCTGTGATCAATTGCCCGTGCCCTGATGAAGTTTATTATTTTAGTAACAACATCAGTAACATGGTTGATTTTTAGCACTGACTTGCACAACACATGTTGGTGTATAATACAATGCCAAAACACCAATTTTTGATCGGCATCGATTTCTGTCACTTTATCTTGCATACGTTTCAAAAGTCCGACATTTTGCCCTGTAAGATTTGGACAACCGTCTGTTGTGACACCTGACAGTCTCTCCCATTTCAATCCCAGAGTGTCCATGTAGAGGAGCTTGGGCGGCGGAGTGGGGTGCACCTCAGTGTGATGCAGCAGCGGCAGCTGCAGAGCCTCCTGGCAGAGTTTGTGGATACTTTCGCCGCCAGGGAAGAAGACTGTACAAGGACGGACCTGGTGCAGCACACCATCGACACTGGAGCAGCTGCCCCAATCCGGCTGCGGCCCCACCGCCTGCCCCTCGCCAAACGCAAAGCTGCAGAGGAACTGATAAAAGAGATGGCAGATAATGGCGTCATTGAACCCTCGGATAGTCCATGGGCTGCACCTGTAGTTATGGTGTGGAAGGAAACGGGGGGTTGGCGCCCTTGTTTGGACTACAGGCGCCTGAACGCGGTAACCCGCAAGGACTCTTACCCGCTACCTCGCATCGATGACGCACTGGATTACATCGTTGTGTCCAGTTGGTTCAGCTCGCTAGACCTCCGCAGTGGGTACTGGCAGGTGGAGCTTGCTGATGAGGCACGACCCAAGACTGCCTTCACCATTGGGCAAGGACTGTGGCAGTTTAGGGTGATGCCTTTTGGACTATGCAACGCACCAGCCACGTTCGAGAGGTTAATGGAAAGGGTCCTCAAAGACATTCCCCGCGGCCGCTGCGTGGTCTACTTGGATGATTTGCTGACTCATGCCAAGGACTTTGAACAGGCTGTTGCTACCCTGCGAGAGGTCCTGACTGCTATCCGTGGGGCCGGACTAAAGCTGAACCCGGCTAAGTGCAACCTCTTGGCTCGCCAGGTGAAGTTCCTGGGACATGTGGTGAGCGAAAAAGGGGTGGCTACTGATCCGGAGAAGGTGGTTGCTGTGGGGGACTGACCCCAGCCAGCCTTTTCTGTCAGACACCGATGCCAGCAACGTGGGGGTCGGAGCTGTGCTCTCCCAAGGGGGAGAGGCGGAGGAGCGAGTAGTGGCATACTACAGCTGCAGTCTCAGCCGGGCCGAGAGGAATTATTGTGTTACCCGGCGTGAGCTGTTGGCTGTGGTCCTGGCGGTTCGTCACTTCCGACCTTACCTCTTGGGCACTAAGTTCCTGCTCAGGACCGACCACGCCAGCCTAACCTGGATGCTGAACTTGCGCCAGCCAGAGGGTCAGGTGGCCCGATGGCTGGAAATACTACAAGAGTTCGATTTTGAGGCCCAGCACCGACCAGGGCGGCAACACGCCAACGCCGACGCCCTGTCCAGGCGCCCCTGTTCTGCGGAGGAGTGTCGGTACTGCAGACGCCTGGAGGAGTTGGACCGGGGTCCCACATCAGCAGCAGCAGAACCCGAGGGCAAGGGTGAAGGGCGGGAGCCTTTCACCGCGGCAGAGCTGCAGCAGCACCAGGTGAGCGATCCAGTGCTGGGAATGGTGAGGGACTGGATGGAGGCTGGGACACGGCCAGACTGGTCCGCCGTGTCTTCCCAGGGGCCTGAGACTAAGTCGCTGTACTCCCAGTGGAATAACCTGGAGCTCCATGGCAGTGTACTTTACCGGCGGTGGCGAGCGCCAGATGGGGGAGGCGACAGACTCCAGCTCTTGGTTCCACGGGCCTTGCGGCCTGAGGTCCTCCGCTGGGTTCACGGGGCTGCAGGTACTGGCCATTTTGGGAATGGGAAGACGGTGCGGCGGTTGAGACAGCGGTTCTATTGGCCGGGCTGTCGTCAGGACGTGGAGATCCATGTTCACTGCTGTGACGACTGCACAGCACAGAAAGGTCCCAGCCTGCGCTCCCATGCCCCATTGCAGCAATACCTAGTTGGGGCGCCAATGGAGCGGATCGGAGTGGACATCTTGGGTCCGTTCCCTGTTACTGATGCCGGCAACCGGTAAGTCATGGTCGCGATGGATTATTTCTCGAAGTGGCCAGAGGCGTATGTGGTGCCAGATCAGAGTGCAGTGACGACTGCGCACACTCTGGTGGATGAGATGTTCACGCGGTTTGGTGTACCGGAGGAGCTCCACAGCGACCAAGGGAGGAATTTTGAGAGCCAAGTGCTGGGAGAAGTGTGTCGGAGGCTGGGGGTAAAAAAAACGAGGACCACCCCCTTTCATCCTCAAAGCGATGGTCTGGTTGAGCGGTTCAACCGCACGTTGGCCACCCAGCTGGCCATCCTGACCAGCCAGCATCACAGGGACTGGGACGAACACCTGCCCCTTGTTTTGCTGGCGTATCGAACTGCAGTGCAGGAGTCAAGTCAGTGTACCCCTACAGCCTTAATGTTCGGAAGGGAGATCCGAACTCCGGTGGATTTGGTGTTCGGGGCACCCCCTGAGCCGGAAATTGCTGGGGGACCAGAGATGGATTACTTCCGGCGGCTCAAGGAGCGGTTGCACACGGTGCATCAGCTGGCGAGACAGACAATGGAGGGGGCCGGGGCCCGCCAGAAACGAGCGTACGATACCTGTGCGCACGGTCCTATGCTGGGGGCCGGAGATCGGGTCTCCGATTGGCCCCCAAGCTCATGAGTCACTGGCAAGGCCCGGCCGAGATCCTGGAACAGCTATCAGAGGTGGTTTTCCGAGTCCGGATGCCAGGGCGGGGAAGGCGGGTGGTGCTGCATAAGGATCGGCTGGCGCCATGCCATCCGCTTGCCCCGAACCCGCAGACTGGTGGGCAGCCTGGGGATTCCTTGCTTCCTACGCCTGGCTCAGCTGGGGGTGCCATGGAACCCCAGTCAAGGCCAAAGCGTACTCGACGCCGGCCCGGATATTTACAGGACTACAGAGTGGACGGTTAAGGTTGTGGGGACACTAAACCTCTTGGGGGGGGGGGGGCAGTGTAATGACCTGGCTGGGGTTGTAAGCCAGGTGCATTCTGGGTATTGTGTTATATGTGTTTCCTATCCCTCTGCTAGTTTATATGTGTTGATTTGAGTGTTATGTTAATGTAAGCCACAGGGAAGGTGATGTGTGTTCTGTGGAGCGGGTTGAATTAGCATGGTTAACTGACACCGTGACTCTGTGTGGTAGGAGCGTGATAGAAGTTCTGTGTCTGTAGTGTTACAAAGGGTTGAAGAAGAAGCCTAATAAAGGTCTGGTGTGAACCACTACTGCCTCCTGCAGGTTGAGTTGGGGACTGCCGCTGAGACGCTTGGGGTCACAACAATATATATGTATATATATATATATATATATATATATATATATATATATATATATATATATATATATATATATTGCTACGCTCTTCCGGCATGGGCTTAAGATTAGCTTTCTTGAGCTAATCAAAGCAACGGGCAATAAGCGCTATTTCTGGTCATTTCTGGCCTCCCTGGTTAATTCCGTTATAAGTAGGGCCCGACTACTATATCGGCTGATATTAGGGTCATTAAACAGTATCGGTGATTGGCCAAAAAGATAGCCGATATTGCGCCACCTATCCAGCAGCTGGTGCCAGCTTTATGAACTCATGTTGTGTGGCTCGACTCCTTTGAACTTTGAACACAAATTATTGTTTTGGAACTTTTTTATTTATTTATTCTTATTTAGGTTACTTATGTGCAATTATTTCATGTCCAGGGTGAATAAGTTCACCAAGTTAACTTCCACAGAGTGTTGCTTTGTTACAAAGCACAAGTGTTACGTTTTATTCATTGCTGCATTTTCATTATAATATTCTTATAGGCTGATTTAAAGGGAACACATGCAGTCACGTGTTGACCAGTTGTTGAATGGTCAAACTGTACCTAAAAACTGACCATTGCTGGACGTTACACTGTAAGTCGACCAAACATCACCTTTCAGAGAAATTTCATTCTGGTTACAGATGGTGTATGTTTTTTTATACATCGTTTCTTTCCTTCAACTGCAACATGAATGTGCACACACACACACACCAGTAGGCTAATGCGGGTGCGCTGACACACAACACAACTTCTGCTACACTCCTTCTATGGGATGACAATTTGAATTGTTTTACTAGAAAAACTAGCAATTAAAATGTTTACTTCTCATCTGGACCTTTACATCCACTCACACCACAATCAAGAAAGACGAAAATGTCCGTAACGCAGAGCTGCAGCAGCAACAATTTGTCGTCGGTGGTCCGGTCTTGGATCTTTCATATGGATCAAAACCGTTTATCCACCGTCAGCTTTTTGATTGCAGACATTGTGAAACCTAAAACTCCAGTCATTTAAGTCCACACAGAAATTTTTGTAATGGAGAAAACGCAAATCTTCACTTTGGCCAGAGTTTCTAAAAAGATTTGTTTTGGTGAGTACATCTGCATTTTCTTTTAGATGACAGGCCTAATTGTAGAAAAATATCTTTGTTTGGGAGATACCCGGCTACGTAAGGACAGGGGCTTAAAGCGCTTGTTCGATGTTTCAGTTTTAGTTATGTTCACTTTTTGTTGATGTCTAAAAGTATCTCATACATGTGCAATCCAAACAGATACAGACACCTACACACACACACACACACACACACGCACACACGCACACACACACACACACACACACACACACACACACACACACGTAGTAAACCCTTGGCTATTTACATCCCAAGACCCTGCACAACTCTATATAGAGATATTAGTGAGGTGCTCGACTCATTGTTTATAACAATCATCACCAGGTGAGTCTTTTATGTTTACAATCTTATATTTGACAACTGTGGGTGAAACATATGTAATATCAGTGTGTGTGTTTGTGTGTGTTTGTCTATGTTTAAATGGAAAATTTTGAACTTTTACCTGTACTGTGTGAACATTTTTACATTTTTACATTTTTACATTGTGGGTTAGGAGACTGCTAAATTTTTCCATTAATTTAGTTTGGTGCACTTTACATCTGTTTCAGGTTTGGAGATCCATCACAAAATAATTCCATATCGCACCAAACGTTGCCAAATAAAAGAAAGAAAAAGAAATGTGTAAAATGTCTCTGATATATATGCCATAATGTGATGATAAATATGTATTATTTGATTTATCTCTGTTTACTGTTATCTATCATTTACAACTAAAATGGAGTATACTTATCCATAAAATGTATATATTATTTCACCGTTGATTAGAAGCATGTTATGAAAACAGTAATTGTAGGTGTGGAAAATACTAACCTGTTGTTGAGATCTGACTTAATACATTTAACTACATATTCTCCTACTGCAATTTGAATCTACTTTTGCAGAACATGTTTTCAGATGACTCCTGAACTCTGATCTTTGACATGAATGTCACAACTCCCATCATTCGGGACCCTGTGAGTGTAGCAATAGCCAAAAATGTGATCACTGTTGTTCTCGCTCTTGCCATCATCTATATCAACGGGATTCTGGTCCACATATTCAGAAAACATCAGGTGTGATTTTTATTTTATTTTTTGTTTTGTTTTATGTCCAGTTTTCTTTGCAATAGCTTGCACAGGCCTGAGCAGATTTACTGTCATTTTGAAGACTTAAAAATATGTTTCTAATAATGGCCACATATTGTATTTTACCTGAAGCAATTATGGTTGTTGATGCAGACCGGCATGATAAAATGTTTATGCATTGTCTGGGTGGCTTGAGACAGAACATTTTAAATATAATTGATGATGAAAAATTAACATTTACAAGAAATGTTGACATGTTCTATCCTGGTGAATGTTTAAAGTACAACATCCAATTGGAGAGATTGGTTCTTGTATCATGAGGTGATCATTTTGAAAGACTTTTGCCTGCGATCAGAATAGAGCAGCTCTAAAAGTTTGTTTCCAGGCTCAGAGGGATAAGAAGCAATTATTTTAGCCTGTCTTGAAGTCCTGGAAATTTAATACATCTTTATTAGCTATTTTAAATAAAAATCATGTTGGCATTTTAATCATTTGGTGCATATTTTCTTGTTGCTGTTACCATAAAAATTATGAATCAACTTTAGTTGATAAAAAACAATTATTCAAACACACCTTATTATAAGCGCTTCTTTTCTTTGTTTCAGGTATTCCACATGAACCCTCGCTACATCCTCTACATCCACCTCGTATTTAATGATATCATCACGTTAACTGTGACAATCCTTCTGCAGGTCCTTAGTTATATTTCATTCACCCTTAACGTCTCATTCTGTGCCATTATGAATATGACAGGTGTTTCTTCTAGTCTAAATAACCCTTTAACCCTCGCTGCAATGGCTCTGGAGTGTTACCTAGCAATATGCTTCCCTCTCCGCCACCCACAGATCTGCACGGTTAAGAAAGCATATGTCGTAATTGCTGTAATCTGGTTCCTGAGCTCAATTGCAGTCATACCAGATCTCTTTGTAGTGCTGGCAACAAGACCTGCAGAATTTTTTAGTTCCAACATTTTCTGCTTGTGGACAAATATTTTCACAATCCCACAACTACAACAGAAGAGGGATGCACTCAACATTTTGTACTTAGTTTCTGTTTGGCTGATTCTTTTCTATTGCTACTTCAGAATCCTTTTCACTGCACAAGCAGCTTCAGCAAATGCCAAGAAGGCAAGAAACACCGTCCTGCTGCACAGCTTCCAGTTGCTGTTGTGTATGCTGAGCTATTTATATAATATAACAATACAAGGCCTCACAAATTTGTTCCCAAAAGATGTTCTGGTTATTCGCTATGTGGTTTCTCTACTGATCCAGGTAATGCCAAGACTTATCAGCCCCATGGTCTATGGGGTAAGAGATAAAATGTTTAGAGAGTATCTGAAGCGATACCTGTTTTTCACCAACACTCAGCCAAAAAAGATGGAAAATAGGCCATCATGAAGATATTTTCTTTTGTGTTTCAATGCAAAAGACTGCTCCTCGTTTGAAAAACTCCCTATAAAATCTGGATATCTTTTATGATCATTAATCCATTTAATCCCAGTTTGATGCTTCACTAACAAGCGACACAGCAGCTGTATCATTTCATGTGACTTTCTTAAACGATACGCACACCGACACGGGTGTCGCTCTAATGAGCCAGATACATGCGCCAGTGCGTCTGTGTTGCTGGACCCATCACTACTTGTTGGGATTCAAAAATCGGTTCTTGTTGAGAACCGGTTACCATTGATTCAATTCCTAGGAATCGTTCGACACTTTTGCTAACTATTCCCCTTATCAATTCCAGCTGACGCGAATGACGTCACCGCACATGTTGCGTCGCTTACAGAAGCAGGAAACATGGCATCTAAGCGGCACAAACGTGAGAAAGTTTTGTTATATTGTACAAGAGAGCATGAAAACAGGGTAACTTGCAATTATTGCAAAGTAGATATTTCATCAAGGGAGGAAGCATTAGGAATATGCAAAAGCAGTTGCAAAATATGCAAATCTTAAAGTTATTGCCAAAATGGTGCAAAAGTTAATTTCAGTAAAAGCAAAAGGGGCCCCAAGTACACATACATGATTATACTTTTCAGGGGCCCGACATTTCTCTATTTAAAATCCTTGTTTTATTGATTTCACGTAATAGTCTAATTGTCTGAGATGTTGAATTTGGGGTTTTTATCAGCTGTGAACCATTATTATCAGAATTATAACAAATAAATGCTGAAACACCAGGCTTTGCATGAGTCTGTCACTTATATTAGTTTTACGTTTTAAGCTGAATTAATGACATTAAAAAATTATAAAGCAGAGCAAAAGTTAATTTAAGTTTGACCTGAAGTTTCCACTGCAATTAGATATAAATCTATATTTCACTAATAAACAGGGAAAATCTGGAGAAATAACCTGGATGCAAAGAGTGTTTACATCTGTTAAAGCTACTAAAATCCTTCTTTACCAATAATAATTTTTACTTTTAAATAATAAAGCTAGACACAATCAAACATTTAACAGAAAGAACATAAGATGATTCAGAGTGCTGAATATAGTTCCAATATGCCAGAAGAAACTTGCTGCATGGTGGCGCAGTTGTTAGCACTGTTGCCTCGCAGCACGAAGGTTGCAGGTTCGAAACTCGGCTGCAGCCTTTCTGTGTGGAGTTACGTGTTCTCCCCATGCATGCGTGGGTTTCCTCTGGGTGCTCCGGTTTCCCCCACAGATCACAACATACCCTATAGGTTATAAATTGTAAGTCGCTTTGGATAAAAGCGTCTGCTAAATAAATAAATATAAACATAAACTTCTTCTCAGTCTCCTGCAGGCTGACCAGCAGCTCTTTATATGTGGTAGAAGAACATGTTTTATCCAGACAGCAAACACCATGAACTCACACTCGCTGCTACCTAATCTTAACTAGATGATGTTTAGCTACTGCTAGCTAGCATGGTTATATGCTATCAATCAATCAATCAATCAATCAAAGCTTTATTTATAAAGCGCCTTCCGCGACCCCTTCAGGGAGCCCAAGGCACTGTACACAGTACTAGGGCTGGGCGATATCTCGATATTATAATATATGTCAATATAATTCTAAACAAGATATAACACGGGACAGTATCTCTAATTTCGATGTAGTAAAATTTCCATTTAAATTACAATAAATGGGCCGCAACTCACATGTATTTCTCCTCTCCCAGTGTCCCTAAACACAACCTGTCTGTTCCGCCCATCGATACTGGACAATTCATTTCCATAGGCTCCAATAACACGTTTTTGAGGCCAAATGGAGGTGGCCACCACCGCCATTTTGACCGTGTCACAGGTTCCGTCAAGCCCAGACAATTCCACAAAAGGGAAGAGAGGTGGAGCTGAGGGTGGGGCTGTAAGGCTGGGATCAACTGACGACACCCGGTCGAACTAGCTACAAGCTAACCCAAAGCTAACGCTGAGGTGGGAGCTAAGCTAACGGAGGTAGCAACCTAGCCACAACCGGAGGTGTGCACAACACCAGAGCTTCTGAGTCAGAGATACGCCGGGCTGACCGCTGGGTAAAACCGGGTGGAACACAGAGGTCTCCCGAGAGCTCCACAAGCCGGCAGCCACACAGCAGACAAGCGCCGCTGCGATCTGAGATGTGCAGAGCTGCCGCTTGGGAGAACCGGTTGGAAAGTTTTCCATCCCAGAGCTCCACAAGCCGGCAGCCTGCGCAGCAGACAGGAGCCGCGATCAGACAGAGATGCGCCGAGCTGCGGGGAGGGGAGAACCGGGTGGAAAACATCGGTTTCCATCCAGAGCTTCACAAGCCGGCAGCCCATGCAGCAGACAGAAGCCGCGATCAGACAAAGGTGTGCCGAGCTGCGGGGAGAACCAGCCGGCAGCCCATGCAGCAGACAGAAGCCGCGATCAGACAAAGGTGTGCCGAGCTGCGGGGAGGGGAGAACCGGGTGGAAAACAGAGGTCTCCCGAGAGCTCCACAAGCCGATAGTCGGAACCCAGCTCCACCAACATGTTATATTTCAACCCATTTTCTAAAGTGCAGCATTATGTTAAATGCACTGGGTTTTACCCTATTACATTTAAATTTCATGGTTAAACAGTACATTGTCAAATCTAAGCTCAGCTAGTGCAAGAGCGGCAGTGACCTAAAATACATAAATATAATTTTACTTACCGAAATAAATGAAGTGGAGACTCCTTGGACGCTCTATTAGTGCAATTAATGCCACAGCAAGTGATTTTGTCCAACAATTGCACAAACAATATCCAAAAAGGATGAGCAAATGCTACAACTAATGGTCTAAGTTGAGAGACTGAAAATGACGGAACAGTTTTCAGGCTGAGGCCTTTCCCCGGAGCTAGCTCTGTGGTCACGTGGGTCTGATGTTCATTAATTATTCAGAATGTTAGGCTTTTAATACACTTAAAAAGAAGAGTGAGAAAAAAATTCACCCCCCTCAGAGTTGTCATGAGTGTAAACTAGATAATTTAAACAAAAAACATATTTTGGAACCAGGGTGTAAACATGTTTATTTCTGCTGTGAAATTGGTATTTTTAACATGGGAGTCAATGAGGATTTGCTCGCTTCTGACACCAGCCCCCAGTGGATGAGGGTGGAACTGCAATTTATTTCATTTCTGCGTTTGCTTCAATTTTTCGCCCGCATTGTGGGGGCTTGGGCTTAGCAGAAGAGGAGTTGGTCAGTAAAAAAAAAAGAACAATGGCTCAATAATCTGGAAATGGTTTGGCTTTAAATTGTCAGATGACCAGGTCACCAGCAGCTAAATGTTTTCTGTAAAGAATGTCGAAAACCTGTTGCAACGAAGGGTTCAAGCACAACAAACCTCTTCCACCACTTAAAACAGCGCGATTAAGTGGAGTATGAGGAGAGCATCAAATTACGTGCTGCGACAGGCCACAACGTCTCCCCAACCTGTTGTCCCGAAACAAACCCTGTTGCGGGCTTCATTCAGTCATAGTGCGCCATACGAAAGAACGAGTAACAAGTGGTGTGAAATTACCAAAGCGGTGGCTTTCCATATCGCCAAAGACATGGCTTCCGCATCAACGGTGGAGCAGACCGGCTTTGTGCAGCTGCTAAAAACCTTGGACTCGAGATACAAATTGCCCAGTCGCAATTATTTCGCAAGAGAGGCGCTACCCAAACTGTACACGGATGTCAGAGCCAGTCTTGCTGCCCGGCTTGCAAAAGCGTCTGACTACGCGCGGCGCTCACCACCAACATGTGGTCCAGCAGGACCTGCGAACCTTACATGTGAAGACATGGATAGTGCAGTTGTTGATGAAAAGGCTGCAGAGAAACTAAAATGCATTCCACTGAGTGACAACACAGTTTCCAGAAGGATTATTGATATTTCAAGCAACCTTGAGGAGCAGCTTATTTCAAACTGAAGACGGCAGGGGACTTTTCCATCCAGCTGGATGAAAGCTCAGATGTTTCCGACTGTGCAACTTTATTGGTCTATGTGAGATATGTCTGGGAAAAAAGAGTTTGTAGAGGACTTGTTATGCTGTTTGAATATTCCGACCAGGACTACAGGTGAGCAGATATTTAGCGTGTTGAATGACTACGTGGTTACAAAGTCCGGCCTGGACTGGAGGCGCTGTAAAGGCATAACAACTGACAGAGCTGCAAACATAACGGGCAAAAACAGCGGAGTTGTAAAAAAAGTTAAAGACGCAGCCGGCGAGGACATGGTGTGGAACCACTGTTTTATTCATCGGCACACGTTGGCATGCAAAGGAATGCCTGCTGATCTCGACAAAACTCTAAAAGAAGTTATCCGTGTTGTGAACTTCATTAAGAGCAGTTCCCTGAACTGCCGGCTTTTTGATCAGCTGTGCTGCGACATGGGAGCGGAGCACACGCACCTACTGTTTCATACAGAGGTGCGCTGGCTTTCCAGGATGAGTTCTGACCAGAGTATATGAACTGAGAAATGAAATGAAATTCTTGGAGAAGAAGTCCCCTCTTGCTGATCTGTTTACTGATGAGTGGGTTTTTACATTGTCATATCTGGCAGATATATTTTCATGGCTGAATGAGCTGAATTTGAAACTGCAGGGAGAGCATGATGACGTTTTCCACAACTGTAAACATGTTCTCACTTTTCAGAAGTCTCTAAAATTGTGGCTTGCACGCCTCAAAGGACCAAAACCATGTCTTTACATGTTTCCAAATGTGTTAAAACACATAGAAGAAAATGATGTCACTGACACACAAGTAAAACATCTTACTGAACTCATTGTAACACACATTGTAGCTCTTAATAATAGTTTTGACTGCTATTTTCCAAAAGAGATTTGATAAGATGAATGGCAAAAGGTGGATTCAAAATCCCTTCGCTTATGAAAGTCCAGAATCTCTGCTTGAGTTAGGATTGACTCCTGGAGAAGAAACAGAGATGTTACAACTGAGCAGTGATCCTTTGCTAAAGAAAAGACATGAATGCATGCAGTTGTCCTCATTTTGGATAAGCATCTCATCTGAATATCCTGCCTTACGTAAGGCCAGTTTTCAGCCTCTCATTCCCTTCACAACAACATACAAATGTGAAGTAGGGTTCTCAGTTCTAACAAAAATAAAGACAAAATTCAATAGTAGACTGAATGCTGCACCAAATATGAGAGTTGCATTATCCTCTTGTAAACCAGACTAGAATGCAATACTGAAAAACAAGCAAGCCCATCCATCACATTAGCAAGGCAAAAAAAAAAAAAAAATATATATATATATATATATATATATATATATATATATATATATATATACATATATAAATAAAACATTTTGGTAAAAGCCATATTTATGACTTTCATCACTAAGCATATGTGAAAAATATTTTCTATGCTTAAAACAGTTTTTGGATATTTGCGTGTTCTGAATGTTTCATCTAAAAGTTCTGTGCAATACTCCGTTTAATGTCCAAAGATAAAAACATTATCCTTATTATGAAAATGTTTTGTTTTTCAGATTGTTTCTAAACACATAAAAAATGTACATAATGTTTAAAATACGGTTTTTCATTTTTATGTTCAAATTTGAGACATTTTTAAGTTAAAAAAAGAACAAATGTGAAGGATAGTAAATGCATAGGATTTTGTTTAAAGAACAGTTATATTTACAATGAGTAAATTTTTTTAATGGGGTCATGATGTTTTGTCTTTTTCAAAATGTGGGTCATCTGAAAAAAAGAGTGGGAACCACTGATATAGATGCCAAAATGACCAAAACAAGGAGTAGGCTCACTTCTTACATCAGGAAAAATCAACGTGTTTCTAGTTGAGTGACTCAAAAGTGAAGCAGCATCACCTCAAAGAGCTGTGTTTCTGTGGTCTCCCTCAGTGAGCTCCACCGGTGGCCAACACAGCTACAGCCTCGTATGGCAGCCAGGTGGCTGTGTGGCTAGGCTGCCTCTCAGAGGATGTGGGTAGATTTGTGAATCCCTGATTGCAGGGCTTACTCTGCTAAAGGGAGATATAGTTAAGAAACTCAGCAAACCTCCCTTCTGCAGCGGAGACCTCACAGAATTTTGACTGCGGTGGACCAGAGAAGTGTTAACTGCACAGCATTGTACCCCATTCAACCAGTGAAATAAAGTGCAGAAATATAATTTTACTTACTGATTAAAATGAAGCAGAGGCTTATTGGATGATCTCTTAGTGCAGTGGTTCCCAAACTTATTTAGCCGTGCACCCCCTTCTATGTCCCGACCATGTCGACGCAACCCCCAACCCCCACATCAGGGCATAACTATCTATATATATATATATATATATATATATATATATATATATATATATATATATATATATATATATATATATATATATATATATTTAAAGGGATATTAAAATTGAGTTTTTGTCTGTTGACATATTTCCCAGAGTTTGATAAGGGGAAAAAATTACAAATTTAACCAGCCCAGTCATTCTCCTAACCTGGCTGTACTCCTTTAGCTTTAGCTTAGCATCAAACACAGTAAGTGAATGGATCCAACTAGCATTGTGAGTAAAAAAGTTCAGTAGTGATCCCAATTCTGCTTGGTGACCTAAATATTCAGACTGACTGCAAGTGAAACTATGACAGGCATCATTTCAGACGGGACTACTTTATGACAAAGCCCAAATGTAAGCCTCTGCTGAAATTCATTAAAAAAAACTGTTTGGCTGTTTGTTTAAAAGTTGTTAATAAAGGTTTTTTAAAATATTATCACAGCAACCAGCATCCTGGCATGTGTTGCGATTGTAACGGAATGAAATGACTGTTTTCCACCTAAAAGTAATTTCCCCCCCTCTCCTCAGCAAGAACTAATCTGCATGGGTATTGTTCAAGGTCTCATGCATCTGCTTCTAAACTGTTTTCCTTTCCAGCACAAGAGAAGAATGAAGACAAAGTACTCTTTCTTTTTAATAAATCAAAGAACTCTATTTTTAATAAGCTAATCAAAGTGTTAGTCAACAATAAAATGTGAACCAATTTGTGAAATGAAAATATTAATTACTTGATATTATAATCCTACAGACTTTAAATGTTTCCACTAGAGACTGATTACACGAAAGGTTAAGCCACGTCACACATTGCTTTTACTGATCCAATCAGAATCTTCCAGATCTGACGGAGGTGTGGTTTTGGTGGTGCTTGGTAAATCTGTCATGTTTTCATTCGACCGTAAATCATAACATCCGAATTATAAAACTATGCCCACGTGATCTTTAACGCCAGTTCAAAGCGTTCTAGAGAAGTTGTCGGAGTGGCCATTCCGTAACTTTCCTCTTCAGCCGAAAGAACCAACGACAAGCTGGATGAAATCTGTTGCTGTTCCAACCACGCAACGGTTCCTTTCAGAATAAAAGCTGAACCATCACGACCCCATTTTGGGTCTTGCTAGATGCCAATAAACTGTCTGAACTGGAAGTATCTCAAGGCTGGACTGGTCAGCGGCCGCGGCTGTTCTACAGTCTCCGGCTCCAGAAAGGTCCAAGCTGGACCTCTACACCTCCTGATCTAGACGGGGACTTCCACCAAGGGTACGTAGACCGACAGAATGGCGTCGCAATGTGTTTATGAATCTCCAAATCAAAACTTAGCGCAGAGACATCACCTTCACTCCCATCAGAACTAATCGTTGATCCGGATTTGCTGGTTCTGAACAACATTCCACACTACACCATTCTCGTCTCACTCCACCTTAGTTACACCATACATTTAGTGTTTAAAGTTAGTTTTAATTTGTTTAGTAATAAATCTTTAAACTTTGAAAACTTGACTCTCTTTCTTTTGTCTCTGAGTTAATACGAAGTTA